GGAAAGAGGCCCACGCACAGAGGTGGTTTTGCTCTGTGCACTGGTTTTTTCCTCTGACTTGTGGGGAGCAGGCCAGAACCAGTGAGCATTACAGAACACAGCTCAGTGTAAGAGAAATACATGAAAATAGATTTTAATTCCTCAAATTATTAAATGTTTAATTTATTCTGCAAGCAAGAGAAACTGTCCACAAATAGTAAGTTACTGTACGGCTGTAAGTACATTATTTTCAGAGCAGTTCTGATACTTCCTCTAGTGTAGTAAAAGGCTACAATTTTTACTATGAAATCTCAAGTATTTCAAAATATTCTACATGCACATTTTGTTCTTGTATTAAAAACCTTATACTTAACTGAAGATACTTAGTGCTTAAGAAAACGCACCTTTGACTAAGATCAGGAAATGAGAAGCTTCTTTTTCCTGCAGGACAAAAATATTATGGGCTGTTGACTTTTTTTCCTTTTACTCCAACTTTTTACAATCTTGTAAACTACATTTTTTAAAAGCTTTCATTTGGCAAGTGTATTTCTTTTTTCTAAGAGTTCACGTTTCATGGAGCAACAGGCCCACGTTTTATGGTACTGGGACCTTCCCCACATCAGTGTTACCCAAATTAAAAAAAAACCAAAACCAAACCAAAACAACAAACCACAACACCCACAAACAAAAAACTCCCTCAAAATCAACCAACCCACCCCCCAAAACCTGGTGTTTACATTCCAATCCTGGCAGTAGGCCATCGAACTGTCCTTACCAAGACTCCAAGAGTGCAAACAAACGTGTGTGTGTCTGTCTCTGCCACTGTGCTTTCTCCCTATACCCAAGTGTTCTGTTTGGAGGTTGCATTTTTCCCTGAACTACTCATCTTTGACAAGTGGACTGATGCCCCGTGGCTGTATAGGTGCTGCAACACCCCCATATGCCCCTCCTATGGAGAAAGCACATACACACGGATGTCACTGAGTGGCCCCATCAACAGTTAAATGTCTAACTGCACTGCAGTGATTTAGAGACCGACCTCCAATGGAATACTCAGGAAATGCATTTACTCCCAGAACACAGTCACTGGACATTACAGAAGGATCACCAGCCTGAAGCACTAGCTCGTTCCTGTAGGCGCTGCTATACACCGACATTTCTAGAGAGACACAGTTTATCTGCTGCTGCTGACCAGCCATGCTGTGAATGGAGGAATTCTCCTGCAGAAGTGAATGAACGTGAAACCGTGCATTTGAAAAACAGACGGCATGCTGTACCATCAAACGGAGAGCTCTGTCTTCAGTGGAAATACTGTGAAATTCATCAAGTGATGTAACACTTGAGAGGTCGAAAGTAAACCCCTTTAGAGACACCTCTGGTATAAGCCCCTGCCATACTTGGCTGTTAGTGCAGTCTTTCATCTACCCTTTGAAACATTTTCTTATCTTTGTTTCAGACAGTTTTATATAGTTCTGTTGGGTTAATAATTCACCTTTTGAAACATAACAGTAAGATAAATCTTTCTTTTGACTGTCTAGAAATAATGCAGAGCTCACCACAAACCATTGATTCAGTAAGGCAAGGTAATATTATTCAGAAAGACAACTGAAAATTACTCCTTCTGCCAAGATGCAACTGCAAGGCATACCAGTTATTAACTACGGAACAGTGTTTCAGGAAGCGTTACATGAACTTCATAGGTAAAACAGATTAACTTTCATTGAAAATCTCCAAGTATTGTTGAAAAGGAGTAATCAAATGACCAGAATTTCAGATTATCTTCTTATTCTAACTCAAACTTACTATAAATGTAATCAGAAGAACTAAGTAACATTTCTACAGCACACATGGACAGAATCCATTTTAATTTGCATCTGCTGGGCACGCTACAAAAGCACCAACATTATCACCAATCCCCTTAACCAGGTCAGCTTTAGCATCAGTCCTACCCTCCTGTTCTGTGGCCCTGGCTTCCAGAGCCAGGCAGGGCTGGCCCCCCGCACCGCTCTCGGTGCTGTGCACTGCAGGGAGCGTCCGGCCGTGATGGCCTGCCGCCACTTTGGAGCGACCGTTTCTTATACAGAAAGGTTAGTGCCCAACGCTTCAGCACAACACTCTTGTGAAAAACAGCGTGTCATGAGGTAGAATTAAAAAAGTAACACTCAGTGCATATTAACAGGCATAGAATTGAAGTCACAAGCAATCTACCAGTTCAAGGAATTTCTGATAGGAAAAACCAAAGCCAGCCAAGAAAAGCAACAAAGAGGCCCAAGAACTGCTTTGTTTTCACAGGTGCTTCTTCACCTCCAGAACAAACAGCACAAGCCTGTGAGAACAGTAAGATTACCTTGAAATACCACCTGCAGTCCCTTTCACCGTGTTTCCTAAAACATTACTATGAGAAAACAGCAGCCTAGAAGCAGGGAGAGCAAGTGCTTTGGGAAAAAGCCATCACGGTCCGGTGTGGGAACAGGGGGAGAACCTGCTTCCTTATTACCAACAGGCCACAACTTTTAATAGAGGGGAGCATAGAGAAATGCAAGTGTTCATACTGTACACTGCATTCTGTTTCAAAGCAAGTCACGAACATGAACTTGGCACTTCCACCAGGCTCGTGTCAAGAACACAGTATCCAGTTTTGCCACAAGTTGCTACTGTTGGGTTTTTTTATCCTGCTTGTTCCATTTCTTGTTTTTCCCAAACAGCTTGGTCAATTAAGAACTCCTTGTAGCTTAGCTCCTCCTTTGCATAAAAATCTTGTATTCCACAAGTGCCCTCAAGTTTTCTGCAGGCTTCACTTCCATTGCTTTAAGCCACAGACAAGGGAAGTCCCCCTGAACTGCTTCTAGCAAACCAACAGACCCAAGCTGCCCCAGAGGTAGGTTCAGGTTCATGGGCCGTTACACACGCACTGGGTGCCCAGTGAAGCGATGTATTTCTAATTGGTCTCAGATACCTTTGCATATTTTATTCATTCAGCCATGAGGCCACATTTTTCATGGCCCAGCCAATTAACTTCAAGTGAAAAAAATACCTGTTTGTGAATTGTGTTCCTTGCACACAGTGCCAAAAGCATTCAAAAGGCAAAGGTGCTCAAAGTTTGGAGTTGCTGTTTTAGAAAATGGGGCATCTCTCTTTGTTTACAGTTCCATCAGCCTACTTTCGAGTTCAAGGCAATGTCTTCAGCAACAATGGAACTGCTCACAAGACAAGCAATGGAACGTTTCAACCTGTCAGTTGCTATCTGAGAAGACTATGGGCATTTATTTGCATTTTAAGGTAACTGAGTATATTTACTTAAAGTTATTGTTCCTCCTGCAGCTGGGATGACATTCTACTGACACCATCACCAAACAGTTGTTAAAACCCCACTAGGGCTTTTACCAAACAGCAGGAAGTCTGTCAGCTGCGCATACTTGATTACTTGAATGTAGTCCTTTAGCAGCCAGTTGCTAGAGATGATGAAAACCCCATACAGGGGAATTAACTAGTCCTCAGATTACCCAATACCCAACACTGAAGGCTCTGTACTACTAAAATTTCTCTTCTCTGAAAGAGAAAATTTAAGATTTTTTTCTCATAATGCAGTGGAGCCTCAAGTTTCAATGACTTCTTCTCCAACAACACCCAGAGTATGCTACCTACACAAATTCAAAACTGCAAGAGGATCGTCAGACTTATGCATTTCCAGCTCTCTCATCTTCATGGACGTCTTCTTCTTCCCCCAAACATATTTTGCAAAATTCTTTATGAGAGTCATCTTATTAAAAGCACACTCTGTTAAGCTGGAGAGAGTGAATCTGAACACCAAAGTATGACTTTTCATGTTTTTTTTTGCTGAATTCAGTGTGTGATTAGTCAGCAAAACCTTAACGAAATACTTTAAAAAAAAAAGTTGGAACATCTAAGTGATGAGAATATTATAAACCGATACTGACATACGAGACTGAAATAACTCTGCGTTTACAAGGTTGGCTATATTAACTTGAGGGGTAAAACGCATTCATACTCAATACGTGATTTAGTGGTGAACATTACAATTTGCGATAAGCCCAGTTAAATCCAAATAGATCTTACTGTAGACAGGCATGCTTTTAATCCGTTCCCAAACTGACAGTACATGTGAGGAAAGGCTTATCTGGTGATACTACGGACACATCCCAGACAAATTCCTCTCACGGAAGAACACTCACGTGAGAAACAGCCTTAATATCAGCAGAAAATTCTGCCATGTCAAGTTTCAAGCATGGGATGAAGGTTTATGTTACCGATGTGGAAAGCTCCCTACCACAGAAACCCTGGAGCCTGAGGAGTCAAAGCCGGCCAAGGGAGACTGACCAAGGACACCCCTGTCGTACGAAACATCCAAACAGTTCATCTGCAGCAGTTACAGGGAGGGTCTTCACCCATTCAGGTCCTGCTTCCCTGCCCCAGTCTGCTCCTGCTCAATTCTCTGAGGAAAAAATGCAGCTACATCTCCAACCAGAACCGATTCCTTCTGGCAATAAACACAATATATGCAATCACAGAAAACCAAACGCTTTAACTGCAGCAGAACATTACGGAAAGCTGACTGATTTTTCTAGCCAATCACAAACACTCAAATTAATATATAAGTGAAAACAAAATTCTCCTTTCTTTTTGTGACAGTAACTAATTCTGTTAGTGACGTAGAAAACCAGCTCATAATCGTAATAGTCACTGCAGAGTCATTTCAGCAACAGAAAAGGCCAAGGAAATGAACGTAAGGAAGTCCAGCTCCTCTGGAACACAGAGGTGTCGTACCCAGGGAGCCTCGGTGAGTTTTGGCTACCTTTGCCCCCTCTACATTTGTTTCAAGTAGCCCACTTCAAGTTGCATCAAGGGAAATTATCAACAAGTGTTATGGTACAAAAAAAACAGGACAACGACTGGATGGCACAGGATCAGGAGAAGCAGAGGTCTGCTTGGAAGGCGGAAAACACGGTGTGTGGAAGTGGACCGGTGGGTGCAGTACGAGAATGCATACAGTGCTGGGCTGGAAACTCGTTCTACTGTCGTGTTCAGAGATCATAGTAACTATGATCTTATCTGGATTCAGAGATTTCAGAAAGAACACACTTCAACTAAACTGAAGTAAAAAACACAAACATCTGGAGGTCCTGTTGATGCAAGATGTGCCTAGAACTTTGGCTGATAGAGAGAAACACGTCCACTAAGGCACCCCGAGGCAATCTGACAGTGTGTTGGAGAAAACTTGGTTGTCAGTACCACGTCATTGTGGGAGTAGAGGGAACGGATCTCTTTCAGGGGACTGGCTTCTTTGGGCAAACAGTCGACAAGTTCACTGCAGTGTGCATCAAACCCCAACAAGCGGATCCCAAAGCCATGCGGGGATGAAATCATCCGGCCATCGGGACTGAAACACAGTTCTTTGATGTAACCCCGGCCCACATTGGCTTCTTCAATGCAATGAGTCAACCGCAGGGAACAACGAGGCGAGACGGGGCGCACGGGGGCTCCTTCCTGGAATTCATAGACACAAGTCCACTAAAGGGAAAGGCAGAGAAAGGAACATTGAAAGAAAAGTAAAGCACCGCAGACACCCATTCCCTCCCGCTGCACATGAAGTAACACAGAAGTGATTAATGCTATTGCTTATCTACTCTTCGATAAGCATCTGCTGTGAAACACTGAAAACAGGCCGGTCCCTAGGCATCTCCTCTGCTTTGAACTGCCCAAGCAAAACAGCTGTCCAGCATCAAAGCTGCTTTTTTAATTAAATGGATGCTAGATATAATCTTCTAAATCTAGTTTTTATCTGGAAAGATCAAAGCCTAATCCTTCGGCCAGGCATCTGCCCTAATTTAGTACACATTTAAACGAAACCTGCGATGAAGCAGAACTCAGCCTACTGTAATTTATAATTTACCATTGGCATTTTGTTCCCTTAACTTCAAAAGGAAAGAAATCTTGAAATAAGAGGGAAATGGATTTTTGAAGGAATGTTATGAACAAGCTCTGTGGCCAGCTTGTTACTTGTGAGACAGACAGGGATTTTAATGTGTGATCTAATCTCAAACCAACTGCAAAAAGAGCTCTATGGCAAAGTTGGTATCACGTTGAAAGATCCGATTTCACCCACAAGACGAAAGAAGCATTCTTAGTTCTGTTCCACTGAAATAAACACACAGGCAACAATACTAACGAGTATTTAGAAGAGAGTAAGGCAGACAATAGGACTGCTAGGTCAACCATCAGTATCAACTAACTCGATACAGTATTTGCATTTTCAAAATATTCTGTGTTGTATAGCGGTTTCATTGTAAGTACAGAACCAGCATTAAAATTTATAACAAACCTGGTCAGCTTCCATCCAGTCCTCTGCACATTTATAAGAAGTAACCATTACAAAGAGCAGCTTTCTTCAAAAACCCCCCAAACAAACAAATAAATAAAACACACCCAACCCCCCCGACCAAACCAACCCAAATTTATATCAGCTATCAAATTAACTAAACTGTTTATTATTGGTCAAGTATTCAAAGAATTCTTTGTGGTTTTGGAAAACAAATATAAAACCTGTGTGTCTTGAAAACAGAGCGGTTTGCACAACTGCCACAGCACTAGTTTTGAAATAGCCCTAGGGAAAAAAAAGTGTTTGCAAGAGGACCATCTGGTGGAAACCAAGTGTCCTGAAGGCTCCGGCTGGCCTTAAGTTGTAAGTGAACCTGGAAGTTACTTCTTCAAAACCAGGTGACCCCAAACACAAGCTGCAGGCTCTTGCTTTCTGCACGCAGTCCATGAAGAAGTCTTTTCATTATTCCTGAGCGAATTACATACTGCTTGTTTGTCTTAAAACAGGCTCCCAGTGCAATACAGCAGCTATTACATGACACTTCGCAAACAGAATCTGGGGAAACATAATCCAATGCTGGTCTTAAAGTCTGCCATTACTTCTTTAAAGCAGTATTTAGGGGAGCGAAACCTGCAAGTGGCAGATGAGCTGTAGCTGGCCTTAATACTTTGAGTAAAGGCTTGAAACGGGTTCTGCCAGGAAGATCAGTGATACCCCCTTTAAGTTTTAGGATGGGAGTTGAGACCAAGGCACTTCGACGTTACATGAGCATCACTGGAGTTCACCATATTAACACTGATGGTGTGGCAGTTTCATGTAGACGCAGAAATATGCCATGAGGTTTTTTCACAGCACTGCAGGAGCAGCCTCTGGAAGCTTTCATCAGCATGGCAGGAACACTTGTCCCTGGAGCACCAATGGAGGCAGAAATCATTCCAAAGGCACTCGAGGAATTCAGAGGAGCTTCCCTGTTCAACTTAAACCATGCTCACCAGAACATAACTCGTAATACTCTTTCTCTTCCAAGTTCACACCTCCTATATTTTGCAGGCAAGTATTTTTAAGTCATGTATTTGGCAGCACAACTACTGTTTGAAAACTTGTAACAGAGCTGGGAACTATAAAATATATTCTGTGAAAAAGCCGGGCCACAGGAGCGCTTAATGCAGGACACAGTTATACAAGGCCAAAAAAACCCAGCTCATAATCTTGATGTAAAATTAATGTGTTTGTAAGCAAAAATAACTAACCTATTCAAATGCAAATTTACCCCAAAACAAGGAAATTTCAATGCAGTTGTATGATCATACATCTTACTCAACTTTTTTTTTAAAAAAAAAACAAACATATTTGTTTTACCTCCTGGTCATCTGTATTACTTGAGCACCGAAGAAGCGTAGCCCACCCTTTTGGATGTAGCTGTAGTGACGTAATGCAATTCCCTCGATCTCTTTCTCCAGGAACCTCTGGTGTTAAGACCTCCAAACTATTTCTAGGTGATCCACCTAGAAGGAGAAGTCAACTGTAAGTCTCAACGAAGTCTATACATTGACATTCACCTCTCTCATCAGTCTGCTGCTGCCACTAGGTCAAACATGTGACACTTGCATCTGGCTGCTAGAAAAGATCTCTCCTTTATGAAAGAACAAATCAAAAGAGACGTTATATGAACCACTGAAGCTAACACCAATGGGCTCACTCCTGACTTCAAATAGCTTCTTTTTTGAAATTTGCCTTCCAAGACCTGCATTAAATCACCTCATGTTACGAACTAAGTCAGACTTAAGTTTCCACACATACACTCTTCATTACCATTAAAACAAAGTCTAAAGAGTGGGTTTTTTTTGTAAGTACTGCTGGGTCTCATGTCCTGTCCAAATTCCTTCCAAAGTCTGCTCAGCTGTAGGCAGCGTGCCTTCCCTCTCCCCCTCACCCCTAGAAAGCTTTTCACAGGTAAAATCATGCTCAGGCATCCAGATAAGCTGCCTCCTTTCATAAGTATGTTTGAAGATCTCACAACCATGAGTAGTCAAAACTTAACATTAAACTTATTTTAAACTGCTTGTGATTCACAGAGCATTTACCAATTTACCAAGGTCATGGTGATTCTCTGAAAGTGTATCCGAGATTCAGAGGAAGCCTGCTAATCCCAGGATCATGAGTTTTCATACCTCTGTAGTTAGATAGGACTTGGTTTGTAATCAGAACTTCACAAAATACTCTGTCTACATTGAAAACCTGTCTGCATACTCTTTTTCTATGTTACTGACTCCTCACAGAGAAACTGCGGATGCATATTCCCACCGTTAAAGAAAACAAAAAGCAAAACATAGCTTTGTTCTGCTCTGTTGATGGTTTGGTTTTGGTTTTGTTGTTTTCCCTAAAGGTCATTCACGCAAACTTTGCTGGAAAAAAAAGCACAAGGAAAAGGGAGTGCCTCTATATAACAATAATGTATTACTATAAAATAAAGATCTTGTTGCTGTTATCAGATTTCTTGGAAGAAAATTACTAGATGCCAAGACTTCGGTGTGCAATGATATTTTATGATTTAATACAAGTCATAGCAACACTATTCTTTGAGAAGTGACAAAACTGCATTTTTCACTATTATACTCTGGCCTCTTCTGGGTACAATGAGTCAAAATCCATGATTTTTTATGATTTAAAAAAAAAAAAATCTTTTCCTACCTTCCCGCTGGGACGACCGTGACATGTGTTTCTCAGACAGTGGAGCTGAATCATTCTGGTGACATGGTGAACCAGCTACTCGAGGACCAGACGAACCTGATGACGAACCTGATGACGTTATGTCTGCAAACAGCATCAGCCATGTGAACATAACAGCTCAGTACACCCACTTACTATGCATGTCCCCCAATTAACCCTCCCTAGAAATGTTAAGTAAAGGGCAAGGGTAAGGCATCTGGTTAAAAAAACACTTTTCAAAGCTTAGTTTATAGTCTAAAAGTACCATTCTGTTTGAGCGCCATACAAATCGACTGCCAGCACAACAAACTACTGGGAGCAAGAAGCGAGCTGCATTCATTCCTCCTCGTGCACCGTCACTACTAGAAGCTGGAGTATGAATTTTTCGCCAGGCCACTCCCTTTATATCCTGACACACCACATGGCAGAGTTTGCCAGTATTTTGCTCTGTTACTGCCACAAAGCAGGAGGAAGCAGCGAAATTTCAGAGCATGCAATTCTTCCAGGTCTGCTGTTGAGAGCAACCACACCACTACCCCAAAGTCATGAGCAGTCGTCTGGAGCTCATACACAGCCAGCCCACTCAACACGAGTTGTTTCTTTTATCACAGGACCAAGGACAGTAGATAAATAAAACTAGAGACTGCCAGCACAAAATTCCACAGGCACTATATCCTGTAGCACTGAAGTCTTGATACCAAAAATCAAACCTAGACCCTTTTAGCTGAGTCAGAACATACCACTCAGCAGTACAGATGTGTGTGACTCCTCAACAACAGAGCAGCTACTGTGCCGAAGAGTTCCTCGGCAGAATCCTTCCAGCTCCACCTCTGCCTTCTCGTGCTAGCTAAGAGTACACCATAAAACACCTCTAACACAGAAGCTGCCACCAACTTTTCCACAAGCATTCACCTGAACTTGATGTAGTCCTCCTAGCTCTTAAAATCGGGTAGCTGCCAACCTCTAAAGATTTGTTTAGGTCAAGGTCATGCAAAATCAGAAGATATCCAGAGGAGGTTGAGATCAACATTTTGGAACAGTCTGGTGTCAGCCTCATTCTCATAAGAAAACGGGTGTGAAAAAACTTCTTGTGGGGACATCCGTCTTCTGTGCACCTGGACAGTGAAAAAAACCACAACAAATGGCTGCAATTAGCTTCAACTCAAGTCCCTAACAATGTCCAGAAGAGTCCAAGATGTGCTAAGCATCCTTGTTCACCCTAAAGCTTTTTTTGAGTACTGTCTTCACCCTATTTAAATCAGATTTTAATGAAATGGCAGAAGTCACGTTTTCATATTACCACAACAAAGAAGACAGAACTTTTTAAAAAAATAAGAACTACATTTTGGCACAACAGCAAGAAAAGTTCTCTTTTTAGCTACTGGACTGTTACCATATAAAGGTGATGTAAGCTCTTGATAAGGGCTATAAACTAATCACAGTACTTAAGATGCATTATAGCACCATTCAAGGAAGCAGGTTTTCCACCATGTACAGAAGAACCCTACCCTTGTGTGTTCCAGAAACACAACAGCACGAACACAGCCACGTACCTATTTGTGTCCCAGATGATCACGTTTCCATCAAACCCTGACGTTACCAGTAATCTCGTATTGGTATCGTACTCGATGTTCTTAACCCAGCTGGTGTGACCATGTAAAGTGCACACTTTTGTGTTCAGCTTTCTCAAATCCCAAAGTGCTATTGTAGTGTCATCAGAACAAGTGGCAAACAGTCGATTATCCAGAAACCTGAAAATGGGAGAGAAATACTGTGGCTTCTTAGTGCCTAATTTAAATATTCTTAAGCAGGAATTTAAGCTAACACAGAAATAGAGTGGCCACACAAAAAAAAATTAACATACAGCAGAAAGTTTGCCCACTGTCCTAGGTTACAGTGTAAGATGTG